AGAAAGACGCGAGGGGAGCAATTTGATTGCTCCGAAGTGAGGTGGAGGAACTTTTCCGAGTAGGCACATATAGGTACTTGTAGGTTTTAATACTACATGACTCCCTACCGCCACGAAAAGCCTTGGTGACCCGGTGGACCCGGGACAAGGAAGTCTGTAATACTCTTTGGTTATAGCTCTAACCAGGTGCGCAGATGTCATTGCGGGCAAAGGGCTATTAGGTGCTCGGACAGGCAGGCACCTCTTAAGGCTCTAGTAGCTGGAAGAAGTAGGTAGACGTAATCGTGTTACGTCAAGCGATGAGGAATAACCGGTAACGAAGAGAGGTTGGTCGCCTCGCTAAGGCTGGCACTAAACATTCCCCAAATTGGATCGGAACCTTAGTGTGAAGCATCACCCAGTGTAGCTGGAGGAGTAATAAGAAACCAGCTGAGAAAGGAGTGGAAACGTCTATGGGAATCCCCTGGACTAAGACAATCCAAGAAACTCATCAGTTTTCAGGAGACCAAAACCAGCTCGCTGCTAGCACTCACCAGAGGTGAATTAAGGTCATACATACTGCATAAAAAACTGCCTCCTTCGGAGTAAGATACTAGGGTACGCCCAACAGATCAAAGGACCAAAGTGCGTAAGCGTCCTATTCATTCATGAATACAACTTTTCATACTCTTTATAATAGCTGTTACTGGATTTGGATTTTGCACTTTCCAGCTTTTACTCTGCTTTTGCAACCAGCCATTGAATGGGCGGTGTGTTATCTTTTTCAACCGAAGTCGTTTTATTTATAAAGACGGTAATTTTTATAAATTAACGTCAAGTGACATTTCGATGGTGATCATGGAATTGCAAATAACAGCCCACTTAATTAAACGTATATTCGAGTATAACGTCAATATGATTGTATTTTATTTCCATTATTTTTCAATTATATTGCAGGTATAATTAAAAAAAACACGCGTATAATAAAATTGGTCTTTAAAGCACTTGCAACGTTTAAACTCGTTGCGCGTGCTTTAAAGACTTGACTATACCCTTGTCTCTTATGGAGCGTTTATACAATCACTATCATTAGTTCACTAACTTCAGGAAGGTTTCGTTGGTTAGCAACGCGCAATAAATCTTTGTTTCTATTGGCTATTTCGGAATGATTTTGATAGTGAACTAATCATAATCATTATATAAACCCACCATTAATATACTATTTTTTTAATGACCACCTCTACTTTTATATATCTCTGTGTGCACGGCAATAAGGTCGAACACGCTTGCGCAAAAACAAAAACATAGTCGACATACTAAGATACTATTTCCTTTTCGCTCACCTTAGGCGTATTCAATAAAAAAAAACCACAGCATTCCACGAGGTCCGAGTGTTGAGATCTGGGGACACGGTCAACTCGCCAGGGGCGACTCGCCACCGGACCACTCGCCACCGACCGACTAGCCAACGGGACAACTCGCCAACGCGACAACTCGCCAGCGGGACAACTCGCCACCGCGACAACTCGCCAACGGACGACTCGCCAACGAAATATTTTTCCCTGTTTAATGTGTCATACAAATGCATCCCACAAATGCAATAGTCAATTTCCCTAATTTTGCAAACAAAGTTTATCGAAAAATTGTAGTCAATATTTGAATGAAGACCCAATCGCCAATACCTGTTTCTATTACTGCATTTTGATATAACGTCATCTTCTGCAAATTACCTGGCTCTAAGGTAATTAGTAGACAAAATCACCCTGCTAACATTTTCCCATACCTACATTTTTAATGACAGGCAGTTTCTCTTGTTTTCTCTTATGAGATGTCGCATTAGGAGTTTTAAGTGCAATTTGAGTTTCCTATATCTTTACGTTGGCGTTTTGCTTTTTGGAAATCGGGGAATCTATTACTACCACGCGCACGTTAGTAAAGGGAGGTACTTGCATTGAGGTAAAAAATGAAGGTATGACATTAAACAGGGAAACATATTTCGTTGGCGAGTTGTCCCGTTGGCGAGTCAGTCGGTGGTGAGTGGTCCGGTGGCGAGTCGCCCTTGGCGAGTTGACGCGTACCGTGAGATCTGAAACCTTTAAACGGACAGACAGAATGCCCGCAAGTGTAAGCTGCATTTTAATGAAAAATATGTTCAAAATTATCCACTATGTTTAAACAAATATTGGCCAACAGTACTAAAGCGACATTCCATTATTTTCTGTTTTGCTTTCTATATGTTGCTATCATTGACATTAAGTAATAAAGATGGCCCTCTGTATTTGAACATTGACATTTTTTCTTAAATGTTATTCGCAAAACGAACGTTGAAAGCAATCGCTTCTAATCCGAAATTTATTTGTAGCGTGTCCAAACAAATTGAGCGTAAGCATATCGGCATCAGGTCTATAATAGTTATTTATGTATTAAGGGCACACGAGGGCGACAAGTTCTCGTTGTAGTATAAACATCCTGGTTTAATAGTTTAAAATTCGTTTACAAACAGGATTATGATGTTAATGTGATTGAAACCATCCAAACGTAAACGTAATCAATTCATCGTGAATGAGCAAGAAGTTCCAGAAACTATACGAAACAAGGCCAATCTTGTGATTTAGTAGGTATTGACAATTAATAACTGACGTTTCTAATTTGCAATGACCTGCAAATAATTGTTTGTTTTGTCATTAAGTATAAATGAGTTACTATGGTGATACTTAATGCCCTAGGGCATAAAGTTGTACTTTATGCCCGCGTATCACAGATATAAAATGTGCTATTATAGGTTAGTAAGACATAAAAGTATATACAACCAAATATTATCTGCACTGTAACAACAAATACCGGAAAATTGACTTTTCTTGGTTTTAGATGATCACAGTCAGTGGTAAGGTAAACTAAACGCCAAAAACTTATTTTAAGTACCTACTTCGCTTCCGTGTCGAAAAAAGTTAGGAAGCTTTTAATTTTGGATTTGTATGTTATTCCGTAAGTGGCACCGACGTCTTTGTAGTTTCCTGGTTTAATGGATCTAAAACAGATGGATGTTAGAATTAAAAATCGGTAAACTAATATCCCTGGTGGATAGGCAACTCCCTAACTTAGGTACATTCGTTGCAGTCTGCAGTCGCTAGAGCTTCTAATGAATTTTTGCAATAATCATTTTCTCGTGTTATGTATATTTGGATCGAAACTTTAGAACAGAACTGCTATCGACCTTCAAAAAAGTCTTTCGTTTTTCAAATCGAAACGGTTTTAATTCTGAATAATTCGATGTTTTGTAGATTGTTTATCGATTAAAAATTCTAGAAAGAGGATGCAATACAATTTGTAATAAATAAAAATTAATAAAAATGTAGTGGAACTCAAAAAAAGATAACAATTCTTGTTGTACTATTCACAATTTCGCTCTAATAAATTAGTTAGTTTTGCATAACCGTATTTTTCCTATTGCATATTCGTATATGAAGCTAAAATATGCTTTCCAACGATGTGTTGCAAGACCCATATTGCCAAAAAAACCATACGGGACAAAAATTGTGTATAGTGGAATAGGCCTATAGGGGAAACCACGTAAAAAAACGAGCCGATAGCTTTACCCCAAAGCAAAGGTAGTGTGGAAACGGAGAGGTGGGCACTTTTCGAATCTGTATTTGGGTCCCTACTGAGAGGTCATAACCAAAATTTCGAAACTATAAATTTTTTCTTCTAAGAAAGCTGATTTTCCTACACTATATTAGGGGAAGCCAAGGTCCACCAGTCTTGAAAAGTAAGTGTCGGCATAAAGGTTGTTTTAGTGCTCTTTGTATTTAAGTGCTCTTTATGTATCATATTTTTCCAAACGTTATCAAGGTGGTCCGCGATTTTAATTCTTTGTTTTACTTCAGTTGTATTGCATTAGTTTCAATTTTTAAATGTATGTCTTAATTTGTTATTACATATTTAAATTTGCTTTTGATATCTCTGCCTGTGCGTGTGCCGCCATTGCCTTGTTTTTACCGTTAGATTGCGGCTTTTGTGTCCCAGCAATAAGGGAAGGGGGGCCCCCTAATTAACTTTTCTTTTGTTTAGTATGTGGATCCGTTTGTGATAATCGACTTTAACCCGAATATTGCTTACATTTTCACTTGCACTTTTTCCTGTTAAATTAATGGTACACGATGCCGGAACAGAGCCATGCTCATTTTGTTGTTGCTGCAATTTATGAGTTGTTTTGTTTAAAATCATTTATCTTGTTTTCCATCTGTATTTATTATCACTTTTGTCTTGGTTTTATTAATTTGTTTAACCGCATTTGCCTTGATTATCTGGTTTTCATCGTACGATTTGAGATATGTTTAATTTTGTATATCTTTTTTCTATTTTGTTGCCCTGGGTGATTTATCTCGTGTTTTTAATAAATAAATAAATCTTCATCCTGTAAGACAAATAAAGTGTATAGGACAAGTCAATTTTGTGTGTGTTATGCGAGGTTTTTATCTTGCTGATTCTCTTTTCACTGGCTTTTCACAGATTTACTTCGCGGAACGAAGCCTCGTGCCTAATAAATTTAATTATTTTATTCTTTTCGGACGCACAAAAATCTTCTTCTTGTTTAATCCCCTTCCCGGTTGTGTCTCACGTCCCAACACATAGAAGACCGCCATAGTATAACACGACGACTACTACCGAGATTTGAAAGTGGCCGACATTTTGACATGCCAGTTAGATAGCCATGCCCAAGAGTTGCCGAATGTAAATATAGGGTAAGTCAAAATTGCAGTGCCGGATTTCATTGTGAATGTCGCTTTAATTACGTTTTAAGAATTACAAATTATGTTGCATAGGAATTTTGATTTACTTTACAGCATGTCTTGAGTACAAAGTGGACGTTATTATTTGTTAAGCGGAGGTTGAAGATTAGTACAGGGTGGCATATTGTTAGGCTTCGATACGTCGGTAGGATGGAACTTTTCTACCAGTGTAGGTCATTTCATTTACGATTAATGTACAAGGTGCTGATATGATTTGGAGTATCCTGTAGATGCCGGGAATGTAAATTTATTATAAAAAATCTCACATCGATAAAAACAACTTATTTCTAATAATCACAATTACGTTAGAGTTGTACGAAAATCTAAAAATTCAGAGGATTCATTATTCCATTAGCACATCGGTTTTGCATCCATACCACTATATAGGGTATCTTCACAGATTTAATTTAATAATGAAATACTAATTCATAAAAAGGACGGTAACGAATCCTGAGATTTCAATTAAAATCACAGTAGACACAAATGGTTTATTTGAGATTGGCATGGCGTCCGCGTCTCCCCGCGTCACTTCTCCAAAAAGTTGCGAAAAGATCAACACACTTCTGGTACTTTTTGAATGCCAATGAGGATCGTGGGAATGGTCTTAACTTAACATACGTAAGTATAACTCACTCTAAGCCGATGAGCTGGCGTACACTTCTTAATCATAAAGTTGATTGCAACAAGCAACGACATGAGTATCGCAAATATGGCAAAAATTGACCAAAAGATAAACCTGTTCCTCTTCTTTGATTCTTCGTCTTTGCTCCTATACAAAAGCAACCCCAGAATGAGACCGGCAATCCCACCACCGATATGTGCACCTTCAGATATGATCACATTCTCTTGGTTTCTAGCGTAGATTAAGTAAAACGTCGCGTCGGATGCAACAATTATTATCACAGTTAACACAGCCCATAGTTTGTATTTGGTCGAGTTGTAGTTCTGGAAAGCATTCGCTTGACGGTAAAAAAGAGTAAAGACTTAGGGGTGCTTACCAGTGCAATATGGGATAAATTGGAAATTAATAAACCGTAAACGCCTGCCGATGCCCCCACCACAAGATCAGGCCGTACGCAGGAAGAACTTAACGCGCCTATGGCACCACTTCCGAAGTATAGTGTAAGTACAAGCAGTCTGTTTTGATATTTCTCCAATGTGAACGCAAATAAACATTGAATAACAACATTTATTAGAACGTGAAAGAGATTACGATGTATGAACATGTAAGTTACATATCTCCATGCTTCAGTGTGATTGTTTGGTTCAAATCGAAGTATTCGTTCAATTTTGTCCGTAGCAACTCCATACATTATCAGCTGGAAAGTTAGTTATTTACACATCGCTAATGACGATCGTAATTAGGTACGAGTACATACTTGTAAGACACTTGTTAATAAAATTCCGAAGGGCGGAGGATATTGGCGGTACCATGGTTTAGGATTAGATAATTCTGGCCGTTGCGACGCTGATGGCGGTACCATTGAAGAATTTAATGGCGGTACTAAACAGTGTCTCTCTTCTGTTGTAGATTCTGGCGTTGCTGCCTGTGTCTTTGGTTCCATTCTTGATGCTGGAAGTACGGGTCATATCTGGTGTGATCCTTGCATACGCTTGCGTGAACGGCTTATCGCACTGATAATATTATCTGGCTTGCTACTCATTTTGGAACAAAAATTTATAACATTTTCAATACTTATCTACAACCTTTGTGCAAGCAAACATTTCAAACTGAGGAACACTAGCCGAAATAGGCCCATATGCATTGAAAGCAAAAGCAATAACATCACTTAAAATACACATGTGAGGCGAGCATGCATGCTTCTGAGTTACTAAACAGTTACCTTTTATAAAACCATAGGTACTTACTTTCGTCACAAAGTTCAAGGAGAAAACGGAATATTTTGCATAAATAAGTCAGTAATGCTAATTAAAGGCGCTGGTTGTAACTGGTTTCTCTTTATCCACAACTTGAATCAAACTAAAACAAAAGCATTATAGGACTGCGAGAATGTGAAGAAAATCTTTTGACAAAATGTAATGTAAGTACCTACTTCTGCCCGATGGCAAGTACCAATAATGAGTTGTTTACCGAAAAAGTGACACCGACCGTCTTTATCGCAAATCTATGGTAATACGAACCTTGAATGTTTAAAACATTTAAAAAATGAGCTATCTGTAGTACACAAACAAGTAAATTGAAGTCATCGCACTCGCACAAGTGGCTGCAGATATCTACTGTGAGCTCTCTTACAGATTGTAAGTGGATAAAAATTATACAGAGTGTGAGTGTGTTTATATATAGCTTACTCCAGAACAAAGAGATTTTCATTTAGGTGAAAATTTCGACTCTATATCTGTTTTGATTTACAGGATCACCAATCAGTACTCGAACCATTCGAGTGGGATTGAAATCGACTGACGCCAAATGAGAGGTGGACGCCCAAATGGACCGAAAAACCCCAGCACAAGAGAAGTACGGGGCCTGATAAAATCGGTCTCAGTTATCAACAGAATAACGACTAAGAGAACGGCAACAAATCAGAAACTTGATTTTATTTAGGTATTGGGGGTGGCAGTGGTGTTTAGGGGTACTAACTTCCGGGGATATTTTTTCAATACAACGTTTCGTTTCGGAGAAGAAATCACCAATTTTATTTTTAGCGCCTTTTCTAAGAATTAAAAAAAAAGTGCCATTGTTTGTGTTTTGTCCCTCTGTCCGGACACACTTCTGCCGTTTTGAACTACTTCTAGGGGAATGGGCCCTGAATCCTGGAATTTTTTGCAATAAGTAGTGTATTATACCTTGACGATGTGCCAGACGGGCATCAAATTTCGCTGTTAAAAGAGGAAGGGACTCATTAATTATTTCTTGAGATGCTGTTTTTGAAAGTAAAACGTTCATAACTTTGAGATACGACAGCCAATTGGTCTCAGATTTTGCATACGTAATTTTGCATTAGTGAGTGATGTCAAGTAAAACTTTTAAAAAACGGTGGGGGGGGGGGGTTGGAACACACGTGCCACCCTTTACGTCTCATCATCGAATTAAATTGGTTTGTACAAAGTATCTCTCCCGCGCGACCCTTTTTCGACATCAGTGGGTGGCGGGGCCTGAAGTGGGGGGGGGGGGGTTTAGAAAGGGGTTAGAAATTGATTTCAATCTTTCATTCTAATTGAAGGTCTCAGCAAAAGGAACTGTTTTTTACCAACCACCGTCGTTCTTTCTGACCCCTTATCAAAAACGGGGGAGTGGATCTGGTTTTATCCTTCATGGTACTCTAATGAAAAGTTTCAACGAAAGGAATTAATTTCTACCAAACATAGTTTTCCTCCTCGGCCCTTCATTGCGATCGAATATATTCCCTTATACCTCCAGAACGGACTGTCTGAAGAGGGTACTCACATAGGGCGATTGAAGTGTCTGGAAAAAGTATATCCATTGGCGATGTCAAAACTTTAAGAACAAATATCTCGAAAACGGTATGTCGGAGCAAAGTACTCTCGAAGGCAAAATGAATCGACTGGATTCTATTGGTGAAGTCGAAGCAAATATCTTGAAAACGAAGTGTCGGAAGAGGGTACCCATAAAAGTCAAGTGGAACGTCAGGACGAGACATATTTATTGGTGATGTCAAAGCTTTCAGTGCAAATATCTACAGAGTGGAGTTTTGGAGGATTTTGAATGTATGCCAGGCGGTTTTTAAATGTTTATGTGTAAAGAGCCTCCTCCCCATTAATCATCTACCAAGAAAGTAAACATCGATAGTGTATGCTTATAATCTGCGCCCCCTCTTATCCAGGGAAAATCAATCCTGATTCTTTCCAGATATACCTCATTTATCACAGGGATAGCTGTTTGCCTATATTTCATTCTGTAGCAGGTTGCCATACCGAGACATTTTGTGGAGTAGGCAAGAAAGGAGCTTGGAGGGTGTTGATGGCGTATCCTAATATTGAGCAGATTCTAATGGGGAGACTCCCGGATGTAGATGATGCGTACCGTGCAAAGATTTTTGATTCTTTTGTATGATGCAACATCTCCCTTAAACACAGTTAATTAGTGTAGACAATTCTAATTTATTTAAAAAAAGTAGCTCCCACGGAAAATGCTCTACTTCAGCAGATCGAGCGAGTTACTCTTCAAGGTTCTTATATGGAAGAACTGTCTGGAAATCGACTGTCAACTTTCTTCGCCCTATACTTGGAGATGGGAAAAAACAAATGACGGGTTTCAGCCATCATGGCTGATTGCGGATATCGCCAAAAGTTGTTTGACAACAACCCACGAACGTATAAATTAAGATGGACGCTGATCAAACAGTTGCATAGAGGTAGAAATGGCCCTAGCATGGGCGCGGCCATGATGTGTACGTATTAGGTATTTTCTAGGGGAATTTTCCTATTGTCACAGTAATTTATTTAGAAAACGTGAGGTTAATGCTTGTTTATTAGTTGATTTGAATTTCGCGCCAAGTGAGTGCACATAATGGCTGCCCCCATGTAGGTCTCATTTGTCAATTCAGCATTAGCAGATTTTGCCCACAAGCTTTGCAGCTCTTCCTTTTATGTCTAATAATATTTGTACCAAATCAGTTTAGCCGGAAATGAAATTACAGACAGACCGTCCGACAGGCGACAAACAGACATCATCGAGATTTTGTTTGATTCGGATTCCTGGAGCTTCAAACCGTGTATTTCTGTCAAAAAAGTGGAGGTCATTTTTTTTCACAATGCGATATCTCCCACTAACGTGGGGGTGGTAAAAACCGGACGGTATTTAAAATTTAAAACATAGAGAAAGTTTGCAGCGTGCAGTTAGGGATGTGAATATTGAAGAAATTTGAACTTCAATACATTTACAGCTTGATGTTCAGGGTTTCAGTTTTTACTAGCGGAGTATGTAAAGTTGCCTAAGCTCTTGCGAAATATAACAAGTAGAAAGAGAAAAATGAATTTGTCATATTATCTGTGTTGTCTCTTTATTTACTTTTGAATCAAATGACCATTGCCTAATAAGGTTTTTCTGTTTATTTATTACATATGATTACTACGAATTAGTTCCATTAACTTACGTATTTGCGTTTTTGATGTTTATTCAACGGGATCTACGAGTTTAGCAAGTATTGATCTTTGTCTCTAAACATCGTTTGGGTTTTATTTTAAGATAAGTAGCCAGTAGGTATTATCATTTTATTTATTTTTATATCACTCGTTCGCAATCATTGTATTAGACGCTATTCGTAATTTAAAAATTTAGAGACACTAAGGGAAGGTATGACATTTCAATGCAAATTACCATAAAAAATTCTTTTTAATTACATGTAAGTACCTATTTATAAACACAAAATAGGTTTGTCTAATATAACAAGTGGGCGTTTGTCTTCTTTTAAACCACGACTTACAATACCTTTGGATGGAACAGTATGGCACTTTTCATATTTTCCCAGGAAAAATGGTCTTTGGGTTCAAAATCGACCAAAAAGTAAAAAAAATGGTACTTTTTTATGGTCTACACTTTACATTGATCCTATATAACAAATTGAATATTTTCCATTTTCGGATATCCCATACCATTTTCAGTGTTATCAAAACCGTTAATCAGGAGCCAATTTGTTGTAGAAAACGTCGAAAGGCTACATGAGGATATCAAGAGATGTCAAAATCGTTATTTATGCGCGCCTACCCACCAATTTAGTTGCAATAGTTTTCTACACGCTGTTGTTTTCCTAATAAGTTATTTCACGTTTTCCATAGGGAATTCATGTTACTTTAATTTCTTCATTTCACGAATGTTTTTTTGTGTACATTTTTGCAAATATAAAGGTAAATGCAACAACTATTATCATCAACCGGCGCCTAGTAGAAAACGTTTACCTTACGAGTGCTAGTGATGCACCGAAAGTGTTATAACGGAAGTAAAAGCGGAAACAGAAGACAAACTATTCTTTGCGGAGGCGGACGTATAAACGGAAGCAGAAGCGGAAGTGTAAGTACAATTAGGTATAAATTTGATAAACAAATTAGTCATAAAATTTAGTTTATTAAACTGTGTGATAAAACGTACTACGAACTACGAGTGAACGAATGAATGAAACAGAGACAAAACGTCTCGAATATTTTCACTTCTTTTTCTTGGATTCTTGGACCTCTTGAATTTTGTTTGTCAGAGATTTTGTCTTTTACATATTAAATGGTTGTGATATACGTAATATACGTTTATGTCGTGCTGGCCCTAAGGCCATTCTATTGAATTACCAAATTTTCAACTCTAATAGTTCTCAAGGGTTTCTGGCATTTCTTGAATCGCTTGAATATCTCAAATTTCTTGAGTCTCTCGAATCGTTTGAGTAGCTTTTTCGAATTGTCAAAACTTTTCAACTCCTCAAATGGCTATGATGTCTTAATTCCTCTGATCTTTGCCATCTTTTGAATCGCTCGAATCTAAATTTGTTGAGCCTTTCGAATTGTTTGGGCAACTTTCTCGAATCTCTCAATCTTTCAATTTCTTAAATTCCTGGGATTTTCAATGTTATCCCTTGAATCTTTTACATCTTTTGGATGGCTTGGATGTTCAAAGTGATAAAGGGGGTCTAGGAGGTTTCAGGATATTTAACAGATACAAGAAATTCAAAAGTCTTTAGAAAGACAAAAGAGTAATGAAACTCCAGGGATGTGGGAGATTCAAGAGTCAAAGGATTCAAGGGTTTGAAAAGGTTTAAGGAATTCTAGGGATCCAAAAGATTCAAGAAATTCAAGGGGCTCAAGTGGTTCAACAGACTCGAAACATTCAGCAGATTCAGGTAGTTTAGGGAATTCAAGAAATTTAAGGGATTCAGGAAAGATAAGGTGTGGACGATGCAGAGGAAGTATCAAACGGTTCAGGCCTTTCGAGGATTTGCGACATTCAAGAAGTGCAGAAGGTTGAGGAGATCCAGGATTGTTTGAATCTCATGATGTATGATCAATAAGGATTACCTGGATGTCTAGGATCCCTTGAAATTCTAGGATCTCTTGAATGTTTCGCACGTATAATCAAATTGCCTACGACTATTAGAGTTAGGATATACCCTGAAAGATAGTCCAAAGAGAAAGCAGTAAAGGGTACAAGCGTGGCGAAAAGCTAAGGCGAGCAGACGCACATTTACTCAAACTATAAACGACCAACGACAGTGCAAAACAAGGTTCACCTCAAACCTTCAAGATCAAGGTTAGTATTCAAAATGTAAGCTACAAGTTTCCAAGTAGAAACAAATGGGGAAGTTTGCAGATAGAGAAATCCCCCGCAGATAACCTCTTTTGCTATCGCATAACCTCGTACCATATAAACTAACAGAAAAAGCATTTCATATCAGTAAAGTTACAATATGAAATCTATAACGTTTACATTATGTTTAATTGTTACAAAGATTCAATGTGCTTGTGTTCCGTCCTTATACGAACTTGCATGCGAAAATCTATCCGACCTTAAAAATGGCAAAAATGAAGATCAAGTTACATTAACCATTGGAAACGCACGGAAAACTCCCACCGAAACTCTGTCTCCGGGCACGTTCAAAGAATATCCAAATTTGGAAGAGCTCGTCATAGTATCGGCAGTAAATAAGCTTGAGGTGGACGCATTTCGTGAGTTATCCAAGTTGTTGGTGCTTAAAATGTACAAAAATTCAATATCCGTGCTTCCGGACTTTGCGTTCATAGTACTCCCACATTTAGTAAAATTGGACTTGCGAGATAATAATATTCAGCAAATAGCAACCTACGGTCCGTTCCTCTTCCAGAATCTCAAAACTGTAAACTTATCATTTAATAAACTGCGCGATTTAAACTGGCAGTGTTTTGCAGCGCCTGGCCTGGAAAGGTTAATAGTCACCAATAATAGAATACAAGAGATTGGGGCTAGAGGCGTCTTGTCGCCCGATTTGATCACTTTAAATTTAGCCAGCAACGAGATATATCATCTGGAGGACGACGTCTTTCAGGACTTAAAACAATTGGAGGAGCTTGTGTTGTCTCATAATCGATTTACGACTCTTTGGACGAAATTTAAGGTAAAATCTTTGAAGAAGTTGGACCTCTCGCATAATCGAATTACTGCAATTCAAGATTCTGTATTTGATGGAATACCACAAGTTGAGAGAATTTATTTAAATGATAACCTACTGAAGAAGTTACCGCCCCAATTTGCGACACTAAATTTAACCGTCGTGCATCTGCACAACAATCGATTACAAAATTTGGAAATGATCACCTTAAACCCGTTTAGCTTTGAATTAACTTTCAGTAAGAACCCCTTATCTTGCCTATGTCTCGATAATTTAATCTTGTTAATGGAGTTAAAGGGAATTACTACAACCGATTGTCAACGTGAGTATTACAAAAATGGAATGAATCCAACTTGTATTGCTCTTGAGCTGGATGAGTGGAAATGGGATAATGGCAAGTGTTCGCACAACGTAGTTATGGAAGACTATCTTTATCAATTTCTTGATATGAATGAGAATATTACCGACTGTCAATAAAGCGTAACATGCAAAATGATAAACTCGTACCTATCCCTTTCACTTTTCCACATCTCAACTTCACATAAAGTTTGTTTTTAGGTAAATCACACACCGCTACCCCGCCCTCTGGGAACTATATTGCATAGGGATAAAGCGGGAAAAATGCATTCCTGTTAATAGCACACAGGCGCACTGATGAACAAGACGTTATGTTTCTATAGTAACCACGTTATTCTTTCGAAAAGGGTGTCGAAGTCAAACGTGAAACGGGAATGAGAGTGTTGATCTCTCATCCTTTTTATAGTTTCCACGTGGAGAATGTTTTCACACGGTCTGACAGCTTTGGGCTTTATAGCAGAAGATATACCCCCAATTTATCCAGCACGACTAAAATCGTAATGTAGCTCAATATCTTAATTATTTTAATTAGCTTAAACTGTAGGAGTAGTAGTGGTAGGTACAGACAATAGCGTTCATTTTCCTTTTGGAACATGCGCTAAAAGGGTTGAACTAAAACTAGCAACTTTGTCTAGTAAAAAAGACGTGGAATGTGAAATGTAAGCCGGCATTTTGGTATAATTATATTCATTTCGAATCCATCACAGGAGTACTGCAAAGGATATCTTTCTATTTATAATGAACTAGTGATAGGTCCTTACGGACCTATTGGCGCCGTTTAATTAGCAAACGCCGTTTTATGTGGTTTACCGTTTGTAAATTAAATTTTTTTTTGATTTTTAAAAAATTTTTTTAAATTTTTTTGATTATTTATGTGGTTTACCGTTTGTGAATTTATTTTTTAATTTTTTATTTTTTTTTGTTATCTTTTTTTGCTTAATGGTTTTGAGAATATAGTTAAGGTTGGCTGACGTTACAATTTTCTAAAAAGGGAAAAGAAATTTGATTCGGTTCAAAAAAGCATCGATATGTCAATAGTCAACCTCATTACATAGGTTGTTCGCATTTCAAGACTACGCGACTTATGCGGCAAACTACCTCGTGCGACAATCTTCGTCAAATGACACTTGTACTTTAATATACTATTTTGTTCATTCAGTCATTTTTTTTTTAAATTTCGATTCAACCAGATCTGCACATTATTGTACATAAGATTCTTTAACTTTGATAACACTTTTTGGTTTTGAGGAGACATACGCTCGGCTCCGGCGGGTTTGTCACCTCGCCTCGCTTAGATTCGTAAGGATCCATAGCTCGGATTCGCCGCGCACTGTTATTTTTGGTTTTTGGAAACATCACCTATACAAAGTCATTTTTTTCAAATTTTGATTCAACTTGTTGAATCCAGATCTGCACATAATTGTATATAAGATTTAATATTTAATTTTGATAACACTTTTTGGTTTTGATGAGACATACGCTTGGCTCCCCTTAAACACCCAAAAAGTGCAATTTTTTCTCGAAAAATTTGCACACCCTTGCTCTCTTCGTACGTACCGGGCAAATCACGCACAACGTAAATTTTTATCAAATCTCCCCTCCCTCGCCCTCAACGAATTTTTAAACTCGCAATTTTACCTAAAACGACTTTCGGAGTGCATTCGCTTCCTACCCCTACCTCACGGGGGTGTCGAGCAGGAACGAAAAAAATTGGAAACGTACGTGTCCCTAACGGCTACATATTCCGGAAGTACCGACGGCATAGGTCGAATAACTTCTCCTCTAGGGCCGAAAAACTACGACTTCGCCATAATCGTATATCAAAACAACCCCTCCTCATCCGATTGCCTTCCGATCGGTCGCTTCCAGAGAACTAAATATGCTAAATTTTTCCCATGGTAAGTAGGTACATACCTACAAATTATGGTTTAAAAATTATAAAAGAAAATTGGCAAACAGGCGACCTAACGGTTTTTTTTTACAAAAACATTTCCAGGACCTTTATTTCTCAATCGATTCGGACGGGGAGCGGTGCATATGATAGCTAATAATTCAAGCTAAATATTCCCCATTGAATGTACTCGTCTGGTAAGTCTCTTAAAAAAAATATAACCGAAAAACTCACCCGTGTATGTCACCCTTAACTTGAAAAGTCTTCGGATGACTTCCAATTTCAAAATATACCCAAAATGCAAGCGGCCACGTATACATTAAGTCTTCCGCAATAACTGTTCCATTGTCACATTATAACCATTCTCGTTCCTTTTAATTAAAATAATTGATACAAAAAATTTTGACATTAAAGAAAAAAAAGCGGGCGCGCTCGGGTACGAACACGCGATCGTCCAAATCAAAGTCCTGCTTGCTAACGGTTACGCCACCGGGGCTTTCGATAACACTTCCTTTAAACCAATATAAGTAGGTACGTCGAGATTACGTAAATTAGCAAATTATTTAAACACACATTATTCACTTTACACTTATTCCAAGCACTTTTAAAGTTTAAAGGGGTGATAGGGCGACCCGCGTCTCGTAGATCTGATCGAGATCTACAATCGCGCAATTATACGTTTCGTTCTAACTCGAACGATTCGGCCTGTAGAAGGCGTCAAAGTTGGAAACTGCGAAAAACGCCTTCTTCGCGACCGGCACTCCGGGTCGCACAGTTCCCAAACGAAACCGTAGAATTTAATCGCACCCCGGCACATCAAAATCGGTGCGTTTTTAATGAAATTAAAAATGAAAATTGAGTAAACGGTTGAGTTCTTTATTTAAGGAGCGCCCGTTAATAATTGAATTGAATACGTAACGTAATATCATGTTTGTTTATAACTCACAAAACTTATTGGTTTAATTGCTTGTAAATAGGGGCGCAAATGCCGTCGTTGTGGGCGTGACCTTATGTACGTAACGAAAACTTGGATAGTTCTTTAAGACAAAACTTGTAGATCGAAAAAGAACGGGCATATAAAGTAAAACGTGTATGAAATGTTAACCCTAAAATCAAAGGTACCCCCCCCCCTCTATGACATAAAATTTAACATAACAGGACTACTAGTAAATGAAGCAACGTGTGTCGATGGAAATTACAGCCGGAACCTAAAGAATATACACTATAAGCAGGTGAAGTAAAAATGGCGGTACTCACTTAAAAAAGGGTAAAACGCACATGTATGACCTCCAGTTGGAGCACAGGCGAATCCCGTCCAAATTATCACTTCTGAATCCCCAAAATTCAATCGTCAGAAATTAGAAATTAGAATTCTACCCTTCGTTCCAGCTTTTTAATCGACGTGTGCTTCGATTCTGCTTACGAAGAAAAGAATTGAATATGGACACCGAAAATTAGGGCGAAGAATGCGCCCAAATATCTGCAAGGAAACTCCTCCAGTGAGTGGTGCCCGCTATATGCCGCAGATACAGGGGTTCTCCGACAAGTAAAAATAAATCGTTACAAACATTGCTTTAAAAAATTGATGTTATGATGAGAAGACCCAAGAAAAAGGTGCCACCACTAAGGTTTGTGGGCGACATAAACAGTAGGTAGTGGACAGTAAAGCTATGGTTGGAAAAATACAGGCATGGTACCTACAAAAAATCGGAATTAGACTTTATTAATAAATACTCTACAACTATGAACTTAAACATAAAATTTAGCCTCTATTGGCAAAACGCACAAAACATCTTACGGATCATATCCCTAAATATACGAAAATGTTCATTAAATCTATTAGCCTCTGTTAAATCTTAATGCTATTGTATATTTTGAAAGACAACCTGGGTATTGTACTATGGTTAATTTATTACTATGGTAAACGTGCTAATTGTTTGATAAATGGGAAGAAATGGCACAGTTTGGTGATAAAATTTCTACAATCATTAAAGTAATCACAATGAAAATACTAAGCTTGCTGAGATCAACATTTTAGTGGGGTGCATTGGACGCCGACTTCGGTACACCTACATTCCATGCAAGGACCGGAAAGTTCAGAAATAATCCTACCGACACGATACATCCGTCCGTAGATGTTACAGCCGGCCAGTTTCAATAATCCTACACCTCCACCGGTCGATTTTTGAGAGCTTGGTGTTGGAGTCGGTGTTGTGGGATTTTCGGGTTTGGTGCCGGCAGTTGTTGGTGTGCCATAAAGTAGAAGGTCTAGGATGCTGTGAATTGAAAGTTCATCCTTTTTACCCGGTGTAGTTGTTGGAATGACCGTCAACTTTTGTGTTGTTGGTCTAGTTAAGTAGGGGAAGTCTACCATTTGCAAACTTGGCGCTGGTTCTGTTCGTATTACATTTTTAAAAGGATCGCGTGTCGTCGCACCTTCAGCAAGTGTAATGATATCTTGAACATTGATGTCCATACGATCCTTCGCCATTGTTGGAGATTCGCGGGGTTCTGAAAGGCAAGTTTAATCCTATGAATCCAATGAAGTTACTCACCGCAAACTACGCGAGAGCAACAGCTGGACACTTTATGCTCAGATGATTTCGAACACATTTGGGCAGGAGACGGACAGGGTGGTTGCTGACAGATTATGTTACCGTAAAAGCAAACGCAAACGATGCAGTCTTGCTCGGTGGCGGTTTCGCGATGCTTAATTTCCCGACCATCTGCGATGCAGTTATCTGCAATTTTAACCATTGCATTTCTCTAGAAGAAGGTCATGAGACAGAAATAATAGTGACTTATACCTACGTTCGTGAGATTTGACCATATTAGTGATGGACTGAGATGTGGTTGCTGATGTGATGATCGAATTCGCCTTCTCGTAGTATTCGGGTATCAGCGGCGGTTGTTTCGGCACGAATCCTCCTGTAACCCAGATTAATCTTTTCAGAATGAAGCAGCAAACAGAGAATTTGGTAAGCAGGCTGAAAGGTGCTCTCACTGTCTGTGTGTCTGTTTACAACTGTTACTATGGTAACTCGCGAAAGTACACGGATTTTTAAGCCGCGCCGCTTTAAGTTGCCACTTGGATGACTTCGTAAATGAATATAGTGATTTAAAAAAGAATACCACTACATGTCCAAAATAATAATTTCATTTTTCAAGTCAGTGATGAAAGGAAGGTGATTTTGAGATCACTGCCATACTACCACCCAAAAGATATCCTACAAAATCTAACTACGCCTTCTTTTAGATACCATGCAAAGAACGGAAAGTGTTCAAGGAGCGGTACTGCTCATACTGCAGATACTGAAATACTGCGCCCACTGCCAACATAGTTATTGGTCATCAGTACTGCAACTGGTATTCCATGATTAATAGGTCCTATGGGTAAGGCTACAAAATTTCGCAATGTTTCTAAAAACATATATTTATATATTCTTGTTTTTAATTTTAATATTAATTTTTAACCACAAGAAGAAAGCAGACATATGTGCAGAGATGCTGCAGTCGAATTTCAACCCTCTTCCGACGCAGGACGCAGAGCACATTCGCGAGGTCGATGCAGGACTGCAGCGCATATTGGAAACATGAGGTGGTAAGGAGCATCAAATACCATATGTCACGCCGGCCAAGTTTTGCAAGATCGTCCTACATCAAAATAAGCGTCGCGCTCCAGGACACGCCAACATCAATTATAGGACCTTGCAGAACACATCGAGCACGACGCTCGCACGTTTAATGCAGCGATCTCTGAGGTACTTTTCCGACACTTTAAAGGAGGCAATCGTCGTCATGCTTCCGAAATCCGAAAAGGGGATATCCGACCGCAGAAACTAAAGAACCATTTCAATTCTTCCAAAGCTAGCCACAATCTTCAAATACACTTCTGTCAAAAAACAATACACTCATAGACCTCCACCCGGAGTAAATCGTGTCCACTCTACAAACGATCAAACTCATGGACATGGTAGCCCAGTCGTACAACTTATGGAAGATCACCTTCGCAGCACCCTTTGACAATGAAAAGGCGTTCTGTAGTGGCCGTGATTGCACGTGCCAACCGAAAACGGGTTCTTGCCTTGTGGGCGCGTGTGAGCGATATCCACGGAGCGCGATACGTAGCCTGCCCGAGTCCGCAATCTACTGCCGCACGTTTCTGTCAGCATCCACTAGTTGGTGTTGCTAAACGGTCCCCGGGTGTGCGACGTTGCCACGCACAACACTGTTATCAATCCTACGCTACACCTTCGACAGGGTATGGACCCGTTGGAGAAGCTCCACCAACGCCATAACCTACTTCAGTCGTATACAGTGACGTTCCCATCAGTTTCTTTGAGAGTGTACTTAGTTGAGCGGGTGGTTGTGATGTTCCCTTTAAAACGCTAGGGGGGGGGGGTCATCCCCTGACAAGTTTATAAAAATTTGATACTCAAAACACAGTTTCAGCGCTCTAAATTGGTAAAAAAACGTGTTTGCGGATAACATAAGACCTTCAATTCGCTTCATGTATAATTATCATGTCCAGTGGCGCCCTGATTGAGAGTATACGCTATATGTCTAACAAATCCTTGAGAGTATACGGCGTATATGGAGTATACCCTCTATGGGAACACCACTGGTCGTATATCTGGACATTAGAAACGCTACACATGCGGGCGAGTCGCAGTAGCAAAGGAAGAAAAGTCCCAGAGGAGGGAGAGGAATCAGCTGCAACAGCAAAAACTAATATAATAAAATAAAGAAAAAATGCTTAGCTCTTATAAAAGCGGCGCCATTAATCCTCCATAAGGCCGATTCACATTATCGGTCACACCACGGCCCGTTCAAGTGCGATCAATTATTATCGCGTGTATTTCTTTTGGCCGATTCGCATTATCGGTCAGGTTATGGTCAAAGCATGCCCACAAGAAATATATGCGCTACAATAAATGACCGCGCCGTGATCGGACTGTGATCTGACCGTATGACGTGACCGATAATGTAAATCTGCCTATATGGTTATGGCGGGATATGGGGGATATCCATACGCCTCCTATGAGGATGATGTATCGTGTGGCATATGCAGTGCGGACGAAAATAGATTCCCCACCCCTACAATGGGAACCGTTTGAGATATCGATTTGATTTGAAATTGACGGGGGGGGGGTAAGTTCATGTTCATATGAAACCCCATTATCTAACCACAGCTACTCCCCAGTAGCATTTGCGCAAGAATGAGCCTTACAAGTTTTCGCTTCTTTTTACTAACTATTCTGGTGACTTTCGTGTTGAGGCCGGTTATGTTATGCTGAACGTCAATTTTTCTTGGAACGAGTGTCTTGTGAATTAGGAAAAATATTCCAAGAACGAGCTTTTGGAACCGAGTTTTCCAGTACGTTGTGGTCCTTTTCTTTGAGGCATATATTTCGGAGTGGATTTTTTTTATAGCTATTACTGGATTTTTAGGAGAGTGAACCTGTACTTGCGCATTGTGCAAAACGAATGTGGAGTCACCCTACACTATTCTATTTAGAGCCGTAAGGAATTTGACCACCATCACACGTAAACCAGCTTCGTTTGTTTACCTACCTTCAGTCTTATCAGGAGGCGAAAATAAACTGTAGGGCGGCGCTTCAGTCACCCGATCAGGATATAAAGAATTCTCTTGGTCGCGACCCTTCAGATCGAGGGCGTCAGCAGCTACGAAGGGAATTATCCTGCAAAAGTGTATGCAATAAATGCAATTGGCGAGTACTACGGCTTACTTCAAATTTGGTAGCGATGGCGGCAACGTCGGCTCATCATAGTCGTAGTCCTCGTAATCCTTGTGGTTGGTGATCGTACTATTTAAAATTGTCTCAATATCCGGCGTAAGTTTTTTGTATGGGGTAACCGTAAGAGTGTTCACTTTAACTTTCGATTCCAAATCAACTTCGGTATAGTCAAGTGCAGTTGTCGAGAAAGTCGATGTGCTATCGATAGCTTCGGTGGAGGTGGCTTGGTCATCTTTTTGCGATGTTCTGGTGGTGTCGTTATTTTTTATGCAATCCGTGGTTGTAACAACGGCCGTCACTGCCGTCGAGTTCATTCTAGTCGCCGCCGTTGTAAGTGAAGTTTCTGGGGCTTCATCTAAGGTAGACGAAAGTGATGTCGATGTTTCCCCATTAAAAGTTGTCGAAAGATCCTCGGTTAGAGTTGAGAGTATGGTCGATAAGACATCGGTTAAGTTAATGTTGGTCGGTTGCTTTGTTGTGAGGCTTGTATGGACTTCTGTTACATTGTCTTCTATTTCATTGTCGTTACCGAAAAAGGAATCAACTATTTTCATAAGGTCGCTTTCGTAGTCAGACGCTCTTAGTTGTTTATTTGTAGTTTGTTCATTGGTTTTCAGCTTAGGCGTTGTTGAATCAAAAGCGGTGGTTAGTAAAGGCCTTTTATACCTTGTATTCTGAAATACGTAATTTGTCGTACCAAAAGATAGTGCTGGTTTGGTTCTTCTGTCACCGGTGCTTGGGCGCGTACGTACGTCAAGGATTGGCTCTGGGCCGGAGGTATACTTTTTACCTATGCTTGCGGTTGTAGATTCAGATGTAGTAAAGATGCTTGGGTCGGTATTACTCGCACCTTTCTGATTTACTGTGGTAGACTCAGCCACAACGTAGTAAGTATCAGAGACGTTCTTGCTTGGGAGTAGTTGTACTTCCTTCCTCAACTTCGCGTACTCTTTACTTACAGTTGGATGGTTGTCATAATTTACTTCTGCCTGTATGTCGAACGGACCATCTTAAAAACAATTATTGCACCAGCAAATGAGAGTACGACATCTACTTACTGCAGTTATAACTTTCGGGACAGCACTGACCAGGTTTGACGACTGGAATGCATCCCAAGATGGCGGGGGCGCACGATAGAGGCTCACATCGCAGAATTCCCCTGATGCAATAACAATTGTCGCATGCCGAATGCCCGATTCCTACCACTTTGCTTCCCTCCTCGTATTGTACACCACCAACTGCACATGTACCTAAATATGCCTAGGTTAGTTGTGAGGAAAGTGAACAGTTTCGTTACTTCTCCAATGGGGCATTTGAGTTGTTGTGCTAGTGGGAGCGTAAAATCCAGTGCAATTGTAACGTACTGGGCAACAGTTGTGTTTTTCGAAGATCGGAGTGCACCCTTCCAAACTCAGAAGGCACTTTGGTTTTATACACGTCTGCTCACCTCCAATGCAATAGCAATACTCACATAGGCTCGAGGTTCCCATTGCCGATCCAGGACCGTAAACGGTACCATTTGCGATACAAACTGAAAAAAAACAGCGATACAATTATGATTAGGAAGTCAACAAATTACCATTTCCCATTAGCTTTTTATGGCCAGTTGGAATTTGAAATGTATCTGATCGTGCCTCAATTCGGTTGCCCGCTGGGTTGTCTAAAACATTGATAAAATGCGTTAAAATTTCTAATTGTATAATTTATGGTACTGAGCGATGACTCATGGCCGTCTAGGTTTTATCCGATGGTGATTAAGTAATAGTTATTAAAATGTTAATCGAGTTTGCGTACCTGTGCATACTAATTCGGGACAACAGGTTTTATGTCTGTGTAACGCGATACAGCCCGACGGAGGTGGATTAGGAAACTTGGGACATACACGCAGATAGCAAACGAGAGTACCTTGGCTACAGGTGCAATTCAAGCACGATTCAGTCGTGGGCACTTCCTGACCTTCTTTATGACGCTCGTTCTCGAACCAGCAGTCTGAAAAAAAGTTCGCATAAGATTAATTTAATGCGCTAAATTAGCGACGTATCAGTTTTTTGGCCATTAGCTCTACTTTGCATAAATTACAACTTAAGTGTTCTGATAGAAAGCAACAATAAATCCTTACAAATGATAGTCAATAAATATTTATTAGATGGAACGGCCGATGAGTTCAAAAATTTAATGGCAGTTTCATCTCTGGTCTGTTATTCTTTAATCTTTGACTAAAACAACCAACAATCAGCACGTGTTCCATATGGCTTGCCATGTCTCTCGTTGACTCTGGAAGTCTTTGTTCCGTACGGCTCAAGAGGCAAGATAATTATGTATCTTTCCGATTCTTTAAATTGCTTGTAAAAACCAGGGGCGGATTAGCTAAACATTGGGAATTGAAAAATACACGGTAACAATTTGTATGAAAAGCTGAAAGCATTAGGTGTCATCGTTGAGGCTTATTCCGACAACGGAAAATAGATACGCCACTTGTTAAAAGGCACCGAGATGTTTCAGTACCTCGGCGACTTCGTAAAAACTAGTCGATTTCCACAGTTGTAGTGCAATTCGTGTTGTTGAGCGACGTTTAATCATTAGAGTCGTACGTCTACCACACTCACGACCCTCCTATTGTGGACGGTGGGGTGCGGGAAGCTTGGGAAAGTGAGATGGGGAATATGTATCGCAGTTTTACATTATAGTTGTGCCTCTTTACCATTTCTCACTCAAAGGTATTTTTGAATCGTAAGTATGACATCCAGATTCCACCCAACATGGTGAACATGGTTTTATTTGTCAAAACGCATTCCTCTGTACACCTTCAAAGCCTCAAAGGTATAAGGCTACCTATTACAAAGTTCAATAATCGAGGATAATTTCCCTAAACGTAGTTGAAAACCGCAGAAGTTGTTTGGGACGGAGCGATTGCGAATAAAAGCCAAACACTAGCACATGCTCCTTTTATTTAAAAAAGGCGTTAAAAATAGAAGTATAATTAACATACAATTTGGGATTTTTGGAGTAGTTCCAAAATAAGAAATTTTAAATCAGTTGTTTATGTGGAATTAGGTAGTTGTTTTGTACACCTGTATCATTTTCTCAAGGGTCAAATAACAGAAAACTGAATGTGTTAATCGATATTAATACTGCTGTTAATAATATATACCGTTTTCTAGATAAAGGCTTTTGAATTTTGAAAGAATCCAAATTTGGGGCTTTGTATCTTGATAACTATACCAAATAGAGATTGCGTTTGACTTTCTAAGCATAAAGACGTACGGAACGGTGCTGCGTGCTGTGTGAGTTAAAGTGCAAACGATAACGATAACGCGACCGCGAGGTTGCTGTATGGCTATTATCGCGAGTGATAAAGACACTATACACTTTTGGAAATCAAAGAGTTAAAGCCGGTCGCAGGCCTTCGGGTCTAGCGATTAAAAAATGTATCAACCAGCATTCATAAACGCTTCAGGTCAGTATTATGATATTAATACACAACCGTTACCACAGCAGCAACTAGCTAATTTGCCCCCACAATACCCACTACAACAAACAGGATATGCAACAGCTGTCACCCAACACTCAAACTTCAATATGACCCCCCAAATGCTTCAAACCTGCTAAAGTAACACACTATCTACAAGAATACCCACAATAACCAGCTCAAACAGAACCAGAGTGGCATAAAGTTGAATACAAAAAAAGACTGCGATCAAGCCCAGAAGTAAGCAAACCTGCAAAAAAGCAAACGACTTTGTCAGAATATTGGTTGCATAAACCAATTACTACAAAAAACGCATACGAAAAACTATCAGACACAGCCGGCGCAGACTCGGAACCTGACGAAAAATCCACAAAAACACCAAAAGCTCCCCCAATTTTTGTAAGCGGAGTAGAAAGTATAATTCCACTTAAAAACCTACTGAATACAATAGCAGCAGACACCTACAACCTAAAAATACTAAGCAATAACCAAGTAAAAATACAAGTGACAGACCCAAAAAAATATCTTGTAGTCATGGAGGAACTGCTAAAGAAAAAGACACAATGCTACACCTATCAGTTGAACGAAAACAGAAGCTTCAAAGTAGTACTAAAGGGACTACACTCAACTACAGATATAAACGAAATTAAAGAAGAAATCGAAGCAAAGAATCACAAAGTTGTAAGAATAAATAACATACTAAGAACACAGCACGAAAGAAATACAACAACAAAAATACCCACATCATCATTCTTCGTTGAACTAGAACAAAATGAAAACAACAAAGACGTCTACAAGATCCAGTACTTGCAACACACAAGTGTTCGATTCGAACAACCATATAAAAAGAGAGACATTCCCCAGTGTACAAAATGTCAAACCTTTGGTCACACAAAAAACTACTGCTATAGGCAACCTAAATGTGTTAAATGTGCAGGCGATCACCTAACGGGGAACTGCACATGGACTGAGAAACGAAAAGATGTTGTCTGCTGCAACTGCAAAGGTAACCACCCCGCAAGCTATAAAGGATGTATTATAAGAAAGCAGCTACAACAGAAGCTATATCCTGCTCTTAGAGAAAAAACTATAAAGGAACAACAAAACCATCTAACAAATCCGACATTGAAAGCGCAAGTTACTATCCCACACCCTAATGCTCAGCCCTATATGCAAATGACCAATGCAAATACACAAAACCTATCCCCTAATCAACCTCTAGCAGCACAACAACCCATGGTTCAACCCGCTCACTATAACGACCGCATTACGAAACTTGAAGAACTAGTAGGCAAACTATCAGAAAGGATCGACACAATGCTCAATATTATCACAGCTCTGTTAGCCAAACCCAACAATGGCTAACTCTCTAAAAATAGGAATATGGAACGCCAACGGCTTGGCACAAAGAAGCCAAGAACTAAAGTACTTTATATTGCAACAAAACATCGACATATTATGCTTATCTCCGAAACGCACTTTACAAAAAAAAGCTACCTACGCATGGCTGGATACTCTATATATGAGACCCAACACCCAGATGGATCGGCCCACGGGGGAACTGCAATATTTATAAAAACTTCCATAAAACACTACGAAAACGAAAAATTTGCGCGAGATTACCTCCAAGCCACCGCCATCACCATAGAAGATTGCGCTGGGCCTATAACTATGTCAGCTATTTACTCACCACCTAAACACAACATAAAAGAAGAGCAGTACACCCAGTTCTTTAAAACCTTAGGTAATAGATTTATCGCCGGGGGCGACTACAATGCCAAGCATCCGTGGTGGGGCTCTAGATCGAATGTGCCAACACCAAAAGGCAAGCAACTCTACCTAGCAATGCTAGCTAACAATTTAATACCGCTTTCGACTGGCGAGCCGACTTACTGACCTTCGGACAGACGAAGAACCCCCGATCTTATAGACTTTTGTGTGTTGAAATCCATAGCTAGTTCTCACTTGACCATCCATTCATGCTTTGATCTGTCATCTGACCACTCACCTGTACTCGTGACCTTAAGTACAAACGCTATACAAAAAACAAGACCACCAAAACTCCACACCAAAAAAACTAACTGGTACGTTTTTAAAAACTTACTAAGTAATATTGAATAATAAATCAGATTTATTATTCAATGGTAATATCCACTACGTTCCGCTACTCAAAACAACAACTGAGTTAGAAGTAGCAATTGATAATTTAAACCACTTCATCCAGGAGGCAGCTTGGGCAGCGACACCATCAGAAAAAGAAACGGAATCCCAAAACCACTGCTCTGCTAACGCCAAACAAAAAATAATGGAAAAACGTAAACTGAGAAAGCAATGGCAACAAACAAGATCACCACATGATAAAGCCAAACTCAACAAGGCTGTGAAGGAAGTGAAGAAGATCCTCGAGGAGGAAAGAAACACAGCTATCAACAGATACTTACAGAGCCTCTCACCAACGCTTGACACCGATTATTCGCTATGGAAAGCGACAAAAAATATTAAAAAACCACAACAACGTAATCCACCGCTAAAACTAGAAAACAACGAATGGGCTCGAACGAACAAGGAAAAAGCGCAAGCTTTTGCAGAGCACTTAGAGAAGACATTTACACCTTTTCCTAGCGAGGCACCAAGAGAGGAAGAAGATATCATACACAATTATATTGACTCGCCCCTGCAAATGGAACTGCCAATAAAAAAGTTCAAAGTAAAGGAGGTCAAATATATAATCAACAAAAATCTCAATCAGAGAAAGGCGCCAGGCTGGGATCTTATAACTGGTAAAATCCTTAAAGAACTACCAGAAAACATTGTTAAAACAATCACTGCGCTATTTAATGCAGCACTACGACTAGAATACTTCCCGATATCATGGAAAGTAGCAGAAATTATACTAATACCAAAACCGGGTAAAATCCCCGAAAACGTGAGCTCCTATCGACCAATTAGTTTGCTGCCCGTCCTGTCCAAGGTATTCGAGAAATTGATACTAAAAAGAATAACTCCAATGTTGCACCAAAAACAACTAATACCAGAACATCAGTGTGGCTTTAGGGAACGGCATGGAACGATAGAGCAGGTACACAGAGTAGTGCGTCAAATAAACCTGGACCTAGAAGAAAAGCGATACTGTTCAGCGGTGTTTCTAGACATATCCCAGGCGTTCGACAAAGTGTGGCACCCAGGGCTTGCTGTACAAAATCAAACGCCAGTTATCACACAACATATATAGATTATTGAAATCTTATTTAAGTGACAGACAGTTCTACGTAAAGCAACAGGATGAATGCAAAAAACTATCACCCATACAGTCTGGTGTCCCACAGGGAAGCGTTCTTGGACCAGTCTTGTACCTTCTTTACACAGCAGATCTACCGGTATCCTCAACTACAACCATAGCAACATTTGCGGACGATACGACTGTGATGGCATCGCATAAAGACCCGAGAAGAGCATCAGCTATTCTTCAGAGTCACATAAATAAAATCCAGAGCTGGCTACGAACATGGAGAATAAAAGT